AGACCATTCAGTGGGGGAAAGAATGGTCTTTTTTGACAAATGGTATGAGGAAAACTGGATATCAACATGTAACACAATAAAAATTGGGCATTTCCTAACACCCACAAACAAAAGCTCACTCAGATCAAAAACATAAATGTAATGCCTAAAACGACAAAATCTCTTAGGAGAAAAATAGGGCAAAATCTTGGAGTTGGCAAAGTTTCACAGGTGAATTCAACCAAATAGGAAAGAAATAATACCAAATCTTACACAAACCCTCTCAGAAAACAGAAGAGAAGGGAACACTTTTAAACTCTTTTTTATGAGATCAGAAAAACCCAATCCCGAACCTTGGCACAGACATGATAAGAAGGGGAAATTAAAAACAAAATCTTAGCAAATCGGATCCAGAAAAATATAAAAAGAATAACACAACATCATGACTAAGTGGGTCTGTCCGGTAATACCAAGTTGGCTCAGCCTCTGAAGATGGTCCACGTAATAACTCACGGCACTGGGCTACCTGTGCAGGCATAGACACTGGAGAACTCACCAAATTGCACGTTTTAGATCTATGCCATTCACGATGTGAAATTTGCCTTAATTACTTTAATGGGGCCGGGGTGGGGGTGGGGTGGGGTGGGATGAGGTACCTTAACTGTAGGTCACACACACCAAAACAGAGGCCACTCCTAGTTCTTGACCACAACATCCGCATCCTCATGACCCAAGAACACATTGTTCTCTAATGTGGCCGACGTCGATTTATCTAGCTTATCCAAAAGCAGTTTTAAGTAATTAGGGTGCAAATTTTTCACAGTGGGGGTGGGGGCTTAAGGAAGAATCCGAACACATGCGTGTGTCACCCTGTTCCCAATTCTTATCAAGTGTGTGGTGTCCAAGTGTCCCCACCCAGATTACCCTGGGTGTCTGGTGGCTCCTCAGAGGAAAAGACCTTCCCTGGGGACTGGAATTCCTGTCTGATTGTGATGGCTTTAAACGGCCCTATTGCTTCACAGTGACATTTAGGATTCCACTATGGTGGTGCCAAGGGCTCTCCTGGCAGGGCTTTTCTGAAATTAACTCGGCCTGGAGTCCCATACCTCTTAGATCATGTAATACAAGGACTTTCATCTAGGAACTTTCATCTGAAACCACAGCAAATATCTGACTGTTTTGTTTGGGGTTTCAGAGAATCAAAGATTCTTGTGACATTTTTAATATCCCTTGAGTTATAAATTTTAAAAAAAAGTTGTGTTTTTTCACGCCACATTTTCTCTGGGATCACTGATCTACACCCAGAGAAAATAATTTTTGGTTTTATTACATAATTCTTTGAAAAATCTCCAACATTGAATAACTACATCAAACTGGAATCTGCATCTTATCCCAGATTTCTGGCTTTTTAATTTTTTGTTCATTCATTCCTTTTAAAACTTGTTAGGATTCCCACATTTACATGTTAGAAGTCTCTGGGCTCTTTCATCTTTTTTTTTTTTTTTTTGGTACCAGGGATTGAACTCAAGGGCATTCAACTACTGAGCCACCCCCCCCCAGCCCTGTTTTGTATTTTATTTAGAGACAGGGTCTCACGGAGTTGCTTAGCGCCTTGCCATTGCTGAGGCTGGCTTTGAACGCACCATCCTCCTGTCTCAGCCTCCTGAGTTGCTGAGATTATAGGCATGTGCCACGGCTCTCAGCTCATCTTCATTGTCTTACTGTACAAGACCGTGGGTTAAGCACTTCAGGCCAATAAAAATAAAAGAGCCTAAAGAATTCTGGGTTCACATGGCTTCTAGTGCTGCCGGGCATGGAACCCAGGGCAAGCCAGACACCTGTGAGCTACATACACCACCAGCCCTGAGTTCTGTGTTGAGAGAGCTTCAAGCCAGTCAAGGAAATAGAGCCAATGCAAAAATGACATCATAGGTGACAATGAGACAGATACAGGACTTTTCCAAATCCTGCCCACCTGGAGAGATAAGAGAGAGTTTTACAACCATTTTAACATGGAGGCCAAGGACAAAGGATCTTGCTCTTGGAGAGCTGGGACTGGAAGCCCCGGGTCCAGGACAGGGAGTCTGATTTCAGCTGGCAGAAAAAAAAGTCACTGGAAGATTCTGAGCAACGTTCAAGAGTGATATTTCCTAACTATACATTTAAGGGCCACAGAGGAATCCAAGGAGCAATGGAGTGAACCAAGAAGAAGAGAGACTTCTGTCTGCTAAATAAACCTCTAAAATCTATTTTCTGAAACAGTTTATTGTCAAGTAAATTACACTTTAAAATATCTCTAGGTTTCCATTTCACGTCCAGCCAAACTGGCATTTAAAGCACAACAATGGAAGCCAGGCGGCATGGTGGCCACGCCTGTAATCCCGGCTAACAGGAGGCTGAGAGAGGAGGGTCACAAGTTCAAGGCCAGCCTCCACAACTTAGTGAGACCCTGTCTCAAAATTTAAAAAATAAAATAAAATAAAAAAGGGTTAGAGATGTGGTTCAAGGATACAGTGCCCTTGGATTCACTCCCCAGTACCAAAAAAGAGAAAGAACTGGCAATGTGGTTCAGTAGTTCAATGCCCCAAACCAGAAAAGAAAAAAGAAAGCGTCACAATGGAACATTCTCTCACATGAGAAGGAACAGACCAGAAGTGCTGCGAGCTAGGAGTCGGCTGCAAGTTCAGGCAACCAGCAGGAAGACCTTGTTGGTGTACTGGTGTCTCAAGGGCCGTGCTGGGTCCTTCCGCCAGGCCTGGGCGTGGGGCTGGCACCAACGGAGGTGTTTTGACCTCCTCGACAGAGGACAGCTCACTGTAACTCCTGGAAACCCCAGTAAGAACCCAGGAGCCCCCACCCAGGTGCTCCCGCATGCAGGAGGCAGGGCTGGGCGGCCCCCACTCACCGGTGATATAGAAGGCTTTGTACCTCTCCAGGCGGACAGTCTGCAGGGCTCCGTACCCTCCAGCTGCACCGCTGTTGGGGTGGAACAGCACCTGGAAAAGACGGCAAGGCTTACTCCCTGCGCGGCACTGCTCTCCTGGTCCACAGGACCCCACCCCACGCACACTGACAGACACGGGCCTGCAGCCAGCCAGGAGACGCAGGGAAGTGTTATTTTGCTAGTTGTTAAAGAGAAGCGGGAGGCCTCTGGACCATCTAGTGAAACTCGCTCTGTAATTGGCAGGGTCCGGGGGCAAAGCGAGCATCAGGGATGCTTTGTTCACAAATTGAAAACTTCAAGACAACCAGGGCAGAGAGGGTGGGGATGCCCACCAGTCCTGCCTGTGCCCCATCCCTCAGGTGCAGAAAGGGAGCCTGCTGACCTGCCTGATTCACTAACGTCCCCAGGGCCTCTGATGCAGCTGACCCTCAGAGCTTTTTGAAAAAAGACTCCTTCAGCTTCAAGTCACTTTTCCATCAGACCCTTGAGCAAGGACAGTACAAGAGAAGGAAAGCCTTAATTTCCCCCAGCACGAGGCACAGTCTAGTCTCTGGGCCTGTGTATTTTTTGTTTATTTGTTTTTAGTGCTGGGATCAAACCCAGGGCCTCACACACGCAAGGCTAGTGCCCTACCAGTGGGCTACACCCCCAGGCCCCAGCCTAGCCTCTGAGCCTGTGACTCAACCCTACTGTACTGGGACAGAGGAAATCTTTCCTCATCGAGTCATAAATGCAAGAATTACCCTAAAGAACGGAAACACCTCATTCAGAGTTCTCCAGGGAAGCATTTGGTAGGAAATAAAAGGCCAGAATTCTTTGTAGGTCGGTGGGTTTGGGCTGGAAGCATGAGACTGCCCTGGTATGAATCATGACTGTATACGTTGCTGGAAAGACGCTGACGTGATTCAGAGTTTCCATGGGGCTCAAAAAAAAAAAAAAATGAAAAACATCTGTTGGAGCCGTAAACATCTGTCCCACAAGTTCCTAAGCCCTGAGAGGATGCTGTCCAGGGCGGGCACCCCCACCTGCTGCTCTCATGCTCTGTGCTGTCAACCCCTGCAAACACCCCGGTTACATGTGATGACAGCAGGCTCCTTCCAGACAGGAAAAGACGTCCTAACGGAAACCCTCACTTCCTCCATCCCTCATCCAAAGCTCCTCCACTTGGTGGAGCACTGCTGTGTGTCCCTGGGATGCACAGAGGTGAGAGCTGGACCGTCCGCCGTCAACCAATTTATGCGGTGTCCAGATCTCCAGGAAAGGGGAGTCAAGGTTGGCCACTTCAAACCGTCAATACCGTCTGGGTAACAGAAACCCATGAGGGTGGGCTGCCATATTCTGAATACGCCTGGGGCCCGACCAGAAGTCACTTCCAGAATCCAAGAGGAAGCAGAACTGTGGGATGGGTCGTTTTTTGGAGCTGTGGATGGATGCAGAGGATCTCGTCTGCACGTTTTTCTGTTGAGCAGATGTGTGATGGCTTTCTCATGCACCTCAGCTTAGGAAGAAGGTTGGCACGTTTAAGTAGGAATCAGTTGAGATATTTCCTCTCCAGAGGCCTGGGCGAATTTCAAAAATGATCTTATCTTCACAAGCCCGCCGTGGCCTTCTTGGTGGACTGGCTTGTTTTTGTTGTTTTGGGTTTGTTTGTTTGAGACAGGATCTCCCTATGTAGCCAGGCCGGCCTTGAACTCTTGGCTTCAAGTGATCCTTCCTCCGGGGGCCTCCCGAGAGGCTGGTATTGCAGGCACCTGGCCTCTTGTTTTCCCAGCCATGCAGGACTCCCCTTACGATAGGTCCTGGGGGCCAACCCTAAACAGTACCCCTAGAAGGTGGGCTCCCTCACCCCCGCCAGGGGCGCACGGCCGGCAGTCTCCCAAAGGGTGGATAGAGGAGGCCGTGGGTCATTAGCCTGTCACTCTAGATGACCTCTTTCACCACTAGGGGCCTCCCTAAGAGAAGTGATTGGTGTTGGGGAGACTACCTACCAGCTTCTGTCTCTGAAGGGAGAGGCTGATGGTGGCCAATATGTAGCGAGTGTCAGCTGCTGTGGGTTTTGACCATCACGGACATGATGTCCCTGGAGGGGGATGAAGTAGGTCATGAAGCCACGGTAGGAACACTACGTGCATCACACCTCGAAACCCATGGCCTGGGGAGGTGGCCCTAGGGGAGGTGACTCCAGGTGGCTTGTTTCTTCAACCCTGGGTTACTTGGTTTACGATAGAGGGAAGAACCTATCTGCTGATAAGCACCTGTATATTGTTTTGAGCTGACTGTCCGGAGGGTACTCTGAGCTTCTAGAAACCAGAATGGTTTCCTAAACCAACCCCTACTGGAACTCTTGTAGGCTGAGGACATATCTGTGGGTGGACACAGACTACGTTAAGAAATACATATGAACGATATACACCTATGAATGTGTGGGGGTGTCATGTGTCATGATATCCATATTTTTCAAAAACACACTCGTATTTTTACTTGCTGGTATTCCCTAAAGCCATTCCAAGTTCAAGACCATTTAGTCTCTTTAATCCTATTATTTCAGTTCAAGAGAGAAGCTGACCAGAGAAGACCCAGCCTGAATTCTGGACCAGAAATGACATACGGTACCCTCAGACTCCAAATAGTCTTATCTCAAGCGTCTCAGTATACTAACAGCACAGGTCTGCTGCCTGGGAAGTTGGGCGTGGCCCCCAGGTGCCATCACGCATGCGCTTTTACCCTTGAGGACCTCAGAGCTTCCTGCAGGCAGAAGCTCGCTGTGTCTTTTGAGACCTCTGCGCGTGGTTGGGAGCAAACTGACCCCTACTCCAGCTGCGCTGGCGCACAACACAGGTCCCCATGATGATGTTGGGCCTTGAATCGGCTTCTCCCACCTGGTTCCAGGCCTCACCTGTGCCCACGGGCTGGTCTGGGGCCCCTCGTGAGTCTGCGCAAAGCTGCGAGCAGAGGAAGAGAGCGCGCGCTCCCCTCTCTGGGAACGGAAGTGAGTGCGCGCAGGAGCTGGCATCCACAGGCCGACCAACAACGTCAAGGAGACCACAGACCTTGAAGCACTTCCTGGTGACCCCAATTATCCTGTTAGTAGCCACGGCAATAAACACCGAGCAGCACCTCTCCACTGACGTCCTGGATAACCCCCCAGGGTCACACCGTGCTAACTTCCAGCCTCAGAGCGGAAACCATCTTCCTGCTTCGGCCTCTGATTAGAGACCTGGAGGGGTGCGCAGCTCTGTGACAATCCTGTGGCATGCCAGGCATCTTCAAAGGCCCTTTCCAGCCTAATCTGACAACTAAGAACTGTATTAATGTGCGAAGAGGCATCAGTGGCCTATTGAGCCACTGAGGGCCAGTGTTCTGCGTGGCCAGGGGACGCTGCGAGGGAAGGGCTGCTTCCATAAGCACCAGCCAGCCAGGTGCGGTGGCACACGCCTGTCATCCCAGGGGCTCAGGAGGCTGAGACAGGAGGATGGCAAGTTCAAAGCCAGCCTCAGCAAAAGTGAGGCACTAAGCAACTCAGTGAGACCCTGTCTCTAAATACAAAATAAGGCTGGGAGGTGGCTCAGTGGTCAAGTGCCCAGTGAGTTCAATCCCCAGTTCCAAAAATAAAATAAAATAAATAAAATAAGCACCAGCCCGTGGTGCACTTGAGCACATCTGAGTCACTTCCATGTGACCCTCAGAGACAGAAATAGACCCTTTGAAGTGTGAGTCCCCAACAGAGAGCCAGGTGCTTGCCGGTCCTTATGCAGGGGCCTCCAAGCTCCCCTCCACGCCTTCCCTCCTCCCACTTCCTCTTCCTTTGGTGAAAGGCAAACATCAGGACTGACATTTCCTGGCTGCTGCTGCCATGAAGGGCTTCCAAACGGGGGACACTGCGGAAGTAATGCCGGGAAGTCGAAGCCCGAAGCCATTTTGGGGGGCTGCTGGGTTAAGGCTGCTTAGGAAAGGTAGCAGAATACAACAATTACTAATTGGGCATTATGTAAAATTGTGGATGTGTAACCGACGTGATTCTGCAATCTGCATTTGGGGTAAAATTGGGAGTTCATAACCCACTTCAATCTAATATATGAAATATGATATGTCAAGAGCTTTGTAATGTTGTGAACAACCAATAAAAAAAAATAAAAAAAATAAAAAAAAGATCAGGCTGCAGCATGTGTGCTGAGCCCTCCCGGAGCCAGGGGAATGTCAGGGGCGTTGCTGTCCCTGCTGTCCAAGAGGTCTGTATTCCGTTGTTCACCCAGTTTGCATTGACTGGATGCTGGCCGGGTGCAGGTGTGGTAGGTGTGCTGAGAATTTAGAGGTGAACCCAACAGCTGGGGCCCTGGCCCTTGGAAAGCTTCCGTCCCAGTCGGGGAGCCCCACAATAAACAAGTGACAGCCCATGATCAGGTGTCTCACCTAAGCTGTCAAAAAACTGAATGCATGCAGGAAAAAAAAAATCATTCTAATATTTTAGAGAATAGGAAGCACTCACATCCACATCCCTTATCCAATAGTTCAACATTCAGATTAACAAACAAACAGGATTTATTATGGGGTGGGGGTGGGGATTCTCCCAAAGGATCTGAGGTTTCTGGAACCAGCCACTCGTGTCTGTCTTCTGAGGGTGGTCATGTTTGCTCGGAGGCAACCAGGTGCTGGATGACAGGCCAAAGGCCAGCCTCCTGCAGAGCCCAGGCGTGGGGACATGCTCCCTCCACCCCTCCACTTACCCTGTGCCCCGTCTGCGACCTGCCCAGGAGCACCTCGGAGGCATCCAGTCCATCAAAGCGTCGATCTTGGGGCAAAGTGGCCTGCGCCAGGGCCACCACAGTGGGGAAAATGTCCAGCACACTGCAGAAGGAACCAGATGTGGTCGGTCCCAGCTCTCTCAGCTCTTTCCCTGGCCCTGCTGGGCTCAAATCCCACCTGAACTCGCTCAGAGCCAACACGACAGCCTCCCTGCGGCCCACCCTTTCTACCTGCCTGCCCTTCCTTTGGGATCTACCTCAACTTCTGCTACGACAGGAGGCAGGTGGGTGTGGTGGCTCGGCACCCAGGCTCTGCAGCCAGCTGTTACCTGGGCTTGGATCCCAGCTCTGCCACCTGTCTATCTTCTGAGGCACTGGCCTCAGTTTTCTAATCTGTGAAATGGGTGTTTCAGTCAAAGTACCTGCCTCAGTGGGTAGCTGTGTGGATGAAACACACAGGTAGGGTATAAAGAAGACGACCTGGCACTCAGAGAGCGCTTATTGGATGTTTGTGTTAGGCTCACAAACAGAGGCACCCCCCATGGGAAAGGGGTAGGGATGTGTCTAGGAACTGAGTTCAACCTGTCTCCACGAGGCCTCAGCCGCTCGCCTAGAGTGGGTCTCTGTCTCAAAAACATTTAGTCTCTCGTCATGGTATGTGAAGCATGCTTATTATTATTATAATTTATTTATTTTAGCTCTTTTTTTCCCATTATAAAAATAGTGTTTATGGTCTAAGAAATCAGAGCATCCAAAACCATAAAAGAGAACACCCCCCACACAGTCTATCCCCCAAGGCAGCCGCTGTTAACATTTTGGTAGGTTTTGTTAATGGGACTTTTTTAAAGTCACGTGATGCAATTTTACCCTCCCCACGGCACATCCCCCTCCGATCCTCTGTGCTCATGTCGGACAGGGCTCTTCAGCGAGAACAGAGTGGCTGCCCTTCCAACAGGCCTGTTTCTCTGAGAGCCAGACCCACTGCCAGGGTTGGCCCAACCTGAGGTCCCTCTCAGGCTAGGAGGAGGCCCCGGTCCCCGGGTGGGCACAGCAGCACAAGGCGGGCTCCTACCTGGGAGGGCCACAAAGGCCACAGCTCCCCAGCTTCCCCACCCTGAGGCCTGGGGAGGGGCTCTCCACCCTCAGAGGGCATGGCAGAGAGAACCTGCCATGCGTGGGCTCCTCCTGCCCTCCCACCTCCTCCCTGGACGCCAGACAGAGTCTGTTGACCGCGGTGCAGAGCGTTTCTATCTGCCGGCAGGTTTCGCAGTCTGCAGAGCCCGTGGCTTATCTGGGGAGATAGGCTGTAGGAGCTGGCATCCCACACTGATGCACAGTCAAGACTTGCAGAGTCAGCGCTCACAGAGTACAGAACAGTCCAGAAACCTGTCCAGAGTCCAAGGTTCCTGCCACACACTGGGAAGCACAGAGCGCTTCCCTGCCATCGGGAAAGGCTGCGATGGTGTGGGGCTGTTTGCTGAGTTTTCTCTACATGGCACCCCTAAGAGCGATCAGCATCCGCAGGGTCAAATCAGTGAGAAAGAAAAACAGGATCTGCCTTAGATTTTTGGAATGAATTCTACAGTATTTTTTTCCATCCTAAGAGGAATCGGCGTCACAGATGAGTCAAATCAGCAAGCAAGAAAAGACAGGACCTACATTAGATCTTTGGAATATAATGTAGACATTCTTTTTCCATCTAATTTTTTCCCCTCCTAGCATGAGATTTAGCATCGTAATTATCTAGCACTAAATCTAACGTTCACAGGATCCTGGTGTCTCAGAGTTTGGCAGAATCCTCAGAGGCACCTACTCCACCCAGAGCACAAAGAAAACCTTTTACCAACCAGAACGACTTCAATAGGTCTGTCGAGTCGTGCTGCTCAAGGCGGCCCAGCCCTGCGTTGGCAAGCTCAGGTTATCAAGTCCCTCCTCAAGGGACGGAGAAGACCAAGTCTCTGAGGTTAGCCCTGTCAGGGGGAAATGCTCCCTGGTAGATGAAACCCCTGCTAGATGAAGGACTGAATTTGGAGAGAGCATCTATCCTACAAAGGCTACCAAAGGTACCCTAGCTACTCCAAATCTCAAGCCCTAAATTCAAAGCTGGTCCTAGGAGCCAAGAATTGCTCACCTGTAATCCCAGACTCTGGAGGCTGGGGCAGGAGGATGGCAAGGTTGAGGCCAGCCTCAGCAACTTAGGGAGGCCCTGTCTCAAAATAAAAAGCAAAAAGGGCTGGGGGTGTGGCTCAGTGGTAGAGCACCCCTGGGTTCTATCCCCAGTATGAAAAGGAAGGAAGGAAGGAAGGGAGAGAGGGAAGAAGGGAAGGAAGGAGGGAGGGAGGGAGGGAGGGAGGGGTCCTGATCTTTGAAACCTCTGAGAAAGAGAGCAAACAAGGCAAAAGCAAAAGCCTGAACTTTCACGATGTTCATGTCTGCACCCAGCTTCTGGCAGAGTGTTGGCTTTGGGGATTTTCACAGGGTCGGGGTGTGCTTGTTCTTGGACCTTTCCTTCCATAAAAATAAATCAGACGTCATTGTTGAATTGGTGTAAAGGTGAGTATATAAAAATGTCTGCATTAAGCCATTATTTTTCCACCTAAAAGTTCAGGTTTTCTCCTTGGAATTTTAAAAGAAATTAAAAGTTGCCCGGGCCCTCCACGTCCTGTGGACTTTGGCTCTGGACAGGGAGCCAGGTGAGCTTCAGATAAGAGGAAGCCCCAGTTCAGGGCCTTTGGTTATGAGGAGGGCAGTCAGAGCCTGCTTTGAGAGGGCCAAGGGGCCTCTGCACAGTGACCTGGAGGTGGGCGCAGCGTGGGCGGCGGCATCTTTGCAAGTTCCAAGCCGCTGTGAGAAGCTTCTCTTCTTCCTTCACAGAGCTCTGGCCAGTCCAGGCTCTGAAGGTTGTTCACGAGAAGAGTGTGTGTGTGTGTGTGTGTGTGTGTGTGTGTGTGTGTGTGTGAGAGAGAGAGTGTGTGTGCTTGCATCCTTCCTTCCTTTTTTGAGATGGGGTCTCTCTATGTTGCTCAGACTGGGACACCTGGGTCCCTCCTGCCTCAGCTCCCCAGTAGCCGGGACCACAGGGGCACGCCACTGAACTGGCTTCTTTGTGTTTTTATCCAGAGTGGCCTCAGGAGCCTGGGAACAGACTGGCCAGGGCGGGAGGGTTAACAAGGGCTCCAAGCTGGGCAGGCTACGAAGCGGGCTGCAGGGCCACAGGACAGCCACAACGGGCAGTTCTGGGGCCCAGGGAGAGGCTGAGAGGGATGGTTTCCTAGAAGCCAAGGACAGCTTATCTAGGAAGAAGCAGACATGACCCGGACCCAGGGAGTGGGAAGAGTGAGGGGCGAGGGGCTGACGGAGGAGGCAGCCCTGGAGGCTCTGGGGCCAGGACAGAGGGCACCACTGTCTGCTCTCTCATTCCACCTTCTCTCTCTCTGTCTCAGTCTCATCCCTCTCACTATCCCTGAGACAGGCCAGGACGGCAGCCCCTCCCCCTGCGGCCATGCTGTGGCGGTGGGAGGGCTGGCTGAGGGGCTAGCCCACATCCATGTGTGTCTGGGCAGCACCTGCCCCACCCTGGAGCCCTCTTAGAGGCCAGCACAGCCCCAGCTGCATGACCTTTGGGAACAGGGATCCCAAGTCATCAGGGGACATCCAACAGCACCCCGTGCTCCACCCTAGAGAGCAGAGGCAGAGCCTGCCGGGCAGGTGACAATGGGTCCAAGGTGACCTGTGGCCCAAGCCCTGCCACAGGACACTAAGGCCAATAGGGTCTCCTTGTGAGCTTCTACTACCTGGCTCTGCCCCACATATGAGCGTTTACGTCCACTTGCCTACCTCGGGATCCCGTAATGCCTGGGGACATTGGGATGTAGGCTGCGGAACTCTGGCCTCCGCTCTGTTTACAGGAGCTGCCTCTGGTCTGCAGAGAGCTCTGTGCCTTTGGGGATTAGAGTACTAGAACAGGAGATAAGCACCTGGGTCCCCACGAACACCAAGCCTGAGCACCAGGCTCCCGAATGCAGACCATAACCCCCTGGCCTAGAGCTGACCTGGGGGAGCCCGAGCAAAGGGCACCAGGAAGCTCCACCCACATTTGCTTTCTATGGATTCCCACAGGAAAGAGCAAGGAGGAGGCTGTTCGGAGGCAGAGCCGTCAGGCCGCCGTCTGGACTCACTGAACCCCACGGGTATCCTGAGAAAGGTGGACAGGGCGTGTCGGTCTCGTCCTGGTGAAATGCTGCCCCCAAACAAAAGCCACCTTATCCAAAGAACACATTTCCTGGGGCCACCCAACCGTCCCCTCCATCCATCGTCACCCTCCAAGGCCCTCAATTACCGGGACAGCGCAGCTCGGTTGTCAGCGACGCGGCCCAAAGGACTGCAGAGCTGCTGGGGTCGGTGCAGCCCAGCCTGCGAACCCTTGGCCCCTCTGGATAAGCACTCGTACTACACCCAAGGCAGCCCGCCTGGCCTTCGTCCCGGCCAGCCCGACATCACAGATTCCAGGCTGTGACACTGTTGTCATACCTACTAGCTCCTGCTGACAGCACACTGCATCCTCCTGATTGCACAGGGCTGACCCCAAGTTCCTGAGGGCCCCACAGGCTGCCGGGGATGCTGCCTACCCATCCCCCACTCCGAGCTGTGCACTACTCCTCCTTCCCCTGGTCTCCGGTCTCTCCCCGTGTCCCTGTTGGGTCTGGGGATGCAGGAGGGAGCCAGGGACTCTTGCTTTCCTCTAATCTGCTGTGCTCATCATGCCAGAACCCCAAAGGCTAAAGATAAAAAAACCTCTGCAAGCCAGGTGTGATGGCACCTGCCTCTAATCCCAGTGGCTCAGGAGGCTGAGGCAGGAGGACCACAAGTTTGAGGACAGCTTCAGCAACTGAGGCTCTCAGCAACCGAGCAAGACCCTGTCACAAAATTTAAAATAAATAAGTAAATAAAAAGGGCTAGGGATGTGGGTTAGTGGTAGAGCACCCTGGGTTCACTCTTCAGTACCAAAAAAAAAAAAAAAAAAAGGGGGGGGGAAGGAAGCAAAGAAAAGAAGTTCTGCAGCTGGGAACTGCTCTTGAGCCAGACCAGACCCTGACACCATGAATGAGCCCTGGCTTCCACCCAGGGTCACGGCGGTTGGTGAAGTCAAGGCAGAACCACAGAAAAGACGTGCCCGGCTGAAACCGAAGTCCCCATACGAGTCAGGTTCCACGGTGGCAAGGGCATTGCTCCCAGACTGACACTCGGCAGTCAAGTTCTCCGCCACAGAGTCGGGCTCTGGATGTGCGTTGGGCGAGGGGCAGCTACCGTGCAGCCTGCGCTGGCTTCTCTGAGCCTTGACTCATCAAAGGAGCTGCGTGGGCAGAGGCGGGAGAGCCACCTCACCCGAGGACCCACCCCCTACCGCAGCGACCTCCCTCCCGGGTCCCCTCCAGGGAAAGTGGGCATCTGGACTCCTTTCTTGGGACATCTGGGTGCCGGTGACATGCTGGCTTTTCACAGCCGGCCCTGGGCCACCTCCCCCAAGCCCCACGGTGGACTAACAGGACCCCAGAGACGAGGTGCTGCCGCCTCCTCTGCAGCAGACACAGCCAGGACCCGACGCCGACCCATGTGACAACCAGGTCCCCTCTTCGCTCGGCCGTCATCCCCAGGGTGGCTGAGTGCCACCGTACCTGCCCTGAACCAGCATAAGGAATTGCCTTTGGGCAAATCCCTCCTGCTGCACCCCAGTTTTGGAGGTATCTGGAATACGTCCAAGGAGGGTACCAGGAGCTTCCTGGACTCTCTGGCCACCCAGGCGCCCACCACCATTCTGGCTCTAAACCCACCTCACAAGGTCATTTGGGTCTCGTACCTTAACAAGGCAGTGCTGGTGACGTTGGCTGGGACTGTGCCGGGCCAGTAAGCCAGGGCCGGGACCCGGTGCCCACCTTCCCAGGTGGTCTGCTTGGCTGGGCTTCCCCCTGTGAGAGGAGGCAGCTGGTTCGTGATCAGTGATAACCTGAGGCTTCTTTCCAGCTAAGAGCTAGTTTCTAGGAGAACAGCCCTCTCTAAGAGTTTCCAAGAATCCCAACCAAGACGAGACTTTTTCAAAAAAGTAACCAGCCAGGCGCGGTGGCACGTGCCTATAATCCCAGCAGCTCAGGAGGCTGAGGCAGGAGGATCTTGAGTTCAAAGTCAGCCTCAGCAACTTAGCAAGGCGCTAAACAACTCGGTGAGACCCTGTCTCTAAGTAAAATATAAAAAGGGTTGGGATGTGGCTCAGTTGTTATGTGCCCCTGGGTTCAACCCACGGTACCAAAGAAAAAAGTAACTAGCTACTTTTCCCCAATCAGCTACTATCTTTCAATACACACTTTTTATTTTATTGGACTTATATGTAAACAAAAAACCTCACTCTGTTGAGTCATGTCATTTAATTCCATTCTGAAAACCTTTCCATTTTAAATTATCTTATTGGCTGCTTAACTCGTTCCCCCCCGGTGAGACTCCATCAGTCTTGTATACCCACGACACAGTAGGTGCATAACAAATCTTTGCTGAACAAATGGATTCCTCTTCCGACTGAGCACACTGCAGCTGTCTGTTTAGGATGAAGAACTACAGTTATTTTAAAAAGTGCAAGAGGGAGGACCTTCCCCAGCTCTTTCGTTGTCTATGTGCCAAACCGATCCGGCCCCGATTGAATTTTTTTTGCTTTGCTTTGCTTTGCTTTGCTTTGTTTTTCCTTGAATTAATAACTTGTTCTGATGTCGAGGAGACAGTGACAGTCACAGTCCCAACCTCTGGTCTCTGGCGGGGAGGTCAGGATCATCTATGTGCAATCTATGAATTTCCACATTGGTAATTCGAGGGATTGTTTTTGTAACCACACGAAGTCAAAAAAGTGACCACCAGCGTAATGGTAACCAGCGGGCTGGAAGAGATGAGGTCATGCTTTATGGAAACATCCTGAAGACATGTGGCACTGCATTAACCGTGACCATCCTGCCCCTCCCACACACCCCGCCCTCATCCTGGTTGAGCCAGAGGCCAAGAATTCCACAAAGTTCGCGTGTAAAAAGCGGTGCCAAGACAGCGAGCGCCGTCTGTGGCTCGCACACGCTGTGGTCATGCGACTTCCCCATGTTTGGCTGGTGTGAATAAGAAAAGCAATGGAGGGCGGGGGTGGGGGGTGGGCAGGGGAATCCAGATGAAGGCTTTGTCCTTGCGCACTCACACCGACCGAACCTTTGATGTCCCCTGGCCCAGCACCCCACACCGGAAATGCTCAGCATCCTCAGGGCCTTCTCATCACCAGCTCTGGAAATCGCCCCCCGCCCCAGAACCCAAGAAGCAGATCACAGAACCACCCGGGTCCTGGGCCCTGTTTATGTTGAAGGGTGTGGGGCTCCAGAAACCAGCTGAAGTCGCTGCAGGCTGAGTGAGAAGCCCTTTGATCTCGCCCAGCGTTTCTCAAACACAGTCTTCCCGTCCAGAGAGTTCCTACGGAGTCTATTCCAAATATCCACGCACGTGGGGCGGAGAATCACGAAGTACGGGGAGCATAAACTCATTTCCATGTGGCCTTGGAATGCCGGAGGCCAAAAGGCCAGGAGCAAGCCTCGCAGGTGCGAGGGGCTGAGGCTCTGTGGGTGATTCCCAGCCCAGGAGGGTCAGCTGGGTGGACACCTGGAAGCCACGGCGCCTGGGGAGTTGCATGTCCACGGGGCACAGTGTTGAAAGGGACCCGCATAACCTTTGAGGCCAGATGCTAAGAAAAGGTCAAAGTTTGGGTTCCAGAAGGCAAGAGCCACGGGTCTGTTCTGCGACACGCAGTGGGACACAGGGTTCAGTCCTGGACCCCAGGATGTTTCCAGAAGGGTCAACTGGCCCCTAATTAGTAAATATGCTAATTGTTCTTCACTCTTAGAGGCTCAGCTTGGTTGCCATGACCCTCCGGGCCACCCTTTTGCAGGTGACTGACCTTGTCAATGTGTTTTTCAGAGAGAAGAATCTCGGTGTGTTGTCTCCTTTCGGCAAAGGGATGGCTGGAGGGATGGGGAGGAATTCAGCCAGTATTCAGCACGTAGGTGTCAGCAAAGCGGACAACCCCCATGCAGAGATTCAGGGAGAAAGAGAACAAGATCGCTCAGCTCAGAGAAGACCCTCAGGGTGGCCGCCACTCAGCGACAAATCTCTCTCTATGCTGTCCAGGCTGGTCAGCGAATCCAATTGCACCTTGCCTTAAACAGCAAGACCCAATTAGATTCTAGCTGCACTGCTCACAGGCCCCTAGACCCGGCTCTCAAGTAGGAATTTAGCTTAAGGGTCCCAAGTGTGGGCAATTATGAAAAAAATCCTCATCACCCAGAACACGGACACCATCCTGCTCCCAATCCCAGGTTCTCGGTGGCTCTGCTAGAGGAAGACAAAAAATGATCCGACTAGAATTCTCTGTGGGTCCCCAGGGCTCTGGAGTCTAATGACTAGCTGCATGCGCTTGCACAGAATCTTGTCTGCCGTGGTTTATCTTCACCAGCCATGGCCAAAGTCCAGGAGAGCTGCCCTGTCCCGCCAACGCTCTTCAGTGACCCATGCTCCTACTCACAGAAACCCATTCTGAGTTAAGCATAATACTGACATTACCAATAATCTCTCTTATTAACTGTGCCCTGACCAAACACCAAGTTAAGTGCTCCTAAGGCGTCAGGTCAGGTTCTTCCCTGCACGATGCCATTGAATCCGTATGACAAACTTCCGGGCCAGGCACTCTTAACCTCCATTTTTTTCAGGTCAGGAAACCAAAGTTCAGAGAAGTTCAGTAATTCACACAAGGTCACCCAGCTAGCAAATGGTAGAATCAGAATCCAAAGCCAGGTCTAACTGCCCAGCCAACGCCCTCCCCCTACTGAACCTTCTAGGGCAGCAATTCCCATCCAGAAATGCAGTTAGAATCACTGGCGGAGCTTTTACAAAATTGCCCAGGCTAAATTGCCCTTTTCCTACAGATATGATCTTTCGAGGGTCTCCCAATGACTGAACGTAAGGGGGTGTCCATCCCTGGTCAGATCAGGAAGTGGACCCATTTCAAAACTAAGTATAGCTTCTTTCCTTCTGGATCACAGGCCTTCGATTGCCCACACCTTTACACTTTTATGCCACCACATCATAAATGTGACCTGATAAGTTACAGCAACAACCATACACGAGTCCACAAATTAAACTTCTGGGCGCTTCTCCCATTTCGAAAGCTCCTGCTTGGTTCAGATAAGGCCTGAATACTTTGATCCAAGTTCACTGATCCATTAAAAAAAAAAATGTGAGCGCCTTGCTTTTGGGCGTTGGTTGAGAGATGTTCATCTTACGGCCGTGAGAACGCATTTCGATGCATCTGTGGTTACTTACGACTCTAATTAAAGCAGAACCTCTTACTTAAAGAAATAAATATTTAGCCTCAGTAACCAAAATACAAACGGAACCATGATTCACGACTTTGCTTACTGCTTCTTCCCTGGCTACAGAAGTAAAGTGGCATTCCGCGACGCATCATGACAGGGGCCGACCGGGCCAGACTCACCCCTGCCTACGCCTGGGAACAGCAGCCTTTCTGCCATTCCTCACTGACTCACGGGGCCAGTGTCTCCGGGAAGGAGGTGTGCAAACGTCTCCATTCGGTAGAGTTACCCTGAGAGGACTGACTTCAGATTCCGACTCCTGGGTTCTATCCCCCTGAAAAATCTAATTCAGTAAGTCTGGGGTGGGGCTCTGGTTCTAGAAGATTCTAATGCCAACGGGCCAGAGACCAGAGTTGGAAGAGCACGGGCAGGGTCATCAGGAGGATGCCTCTGGAGCCAGGCAGAGCCGAGTCCTAACTCCAGGGCCGGCTCCTTCCAATCCCATGGCCTCGGGCAGTATCTGAAACCTCCCTCCCTTATCAAGCGTCTGGGCCGTGAGGTGCGGGGAGGCTCCTGTAGGTACAGGGTATGGGAACAGTTACCTAAGACCACGGATATGAAGTTGAAAGCAAGGTTCTTTGGTATAGAGCCTGTCCCCAAAGTGCCCAACGAATGCAAATTCCTCTCTCTCAAAAATAAAAGAATTATCTCTAGGTAGAAAATAGCACAGGTGGGCTAACAATGTGGCCCAGTGATGGAGCCCTGGCCTAGAGCGTGCACGGCCCTGGGTTCGATCCCCAGCACTGCCAAAAATAAAAATAAAAAAGAAGATGACCGTGTGCATGCTCCGGTGTGTCACCTGCCCGTCCCACGTAGGCATGAACATCTGTGGCTCCTCTGCACCCGTGTCCTGAGGAATGCACATTCCACAACCTTCCAGAGAAGCCAGCTTGGTTTCCAAATATAGACTCGTGCCCTTACCAAGGACACCTGTGGCCTACTGGTTTTCCAGGGCTATTGCTGGCCCCGGTGGCCTTGAGCATGACAGTGAGGACATTCCACCCAGCCCGGTGGCCCTCGTCCAGAAAGAGACAGAGCTGCACTTCCACTGGGTCCTCACCCGCAGGCCCTGCCCCGGCCAGAGCCCACAGCCATGAGCCTTGTCCCTCGCTGTCCCCCAGCATCTCTGGCCTTTCCTTGCCCTACCCCCTGCCTCACGCCGGAGCGAGAGCCCAGGGCGCAGCGGCCTGTCCCACTGGGGAGCGTTACGTAAGGCCCCGATAGCGTCGGATTTCGCCCAGCCCAGGCCTCCCAGAGGTGCCCACGCCAGACGCCACACAATGTTTCCTCATCACCCGGAGGAAGGAGCAGTCCTGCTCCTCAACAAAACCAGGCAGGTTTGCAGACAGGAGCAGTCCTGGGGAGAACAGGGTGCCGGCCTGGCCCCAGGAGGAAGCAGGGTCAGAGCGAGACGAGGCTGGCGCCCGGGCCGGGCCTCCTGCCCATGGGGCAGCGGGGGTGACTCCGGCCTCGCTCCTGGGGACAGGGCCCTGTATCCTGGCTCTTTTCTCCTCCTCCCGGGGGCGAGGGCCAGCCAAGGGCAGCATCCTCACTCCAGCACGGGCCGGCGAGAAGAGGACTCCAGGAGACAGACGCTGCCTCATCCCATCAGCTGAGCCGCGGCTTGGCCAGGAAAGGGACGAGGAGGAGGGGGCCGGCCTGGGAACAGGGGCGGACAGCGCGTGGCCTGTCTAGCAGGCCGCCCTTGGGGAGAAAGAAACGGCCCGGTACTGTTTGTCCTACTCGTTGCGAAAACATCGACTGTCTTCTCTCCTTGGTGTGCTCTTCAGACCGGGCCCCTTGCTGCGGGAGGGGCAGGCTTCCCACTGACAGGAACCTGGGTGAGGAAGAGCAGGTGGTCCAGAGGAACCCCAGCCCCTGACCGCCCCACCACACGCAGGTTCCCTGCAGGGTTTTGCCCAGCTTCCCAGAATCCCCGCAGGGTTCCGGGCCGAGAGGAGGAAGGAGGCTGTGGAAGAGCTGGCAGGAAGCTGGCTGGAACGGGCAAGGGTTTACCCCTAAGAAACTGCCTTTCAGAGTCGGCTCTCGGAGTCCCCCGAGAGTGGCATCCAGCCCCACCACGCAAGGGCTGTGCCCCACCGATACCTTATCATGTCACAGGTCTGTGACAAAGCCTTGCCCCAAATACAGTGTGGCCAGGAGATGACTCAAGGAGCCAAGTTTCCCAAGACAGAGGGCCCAGAACACGGTCATCGTGTTATTTAAGCCGCCCGGTTCGTCCAAAGGAAAATCTTTCTCAGGGCATTTCCCGACCCCCCTTCAGCCCCTCTCTTGGTGGGATACCGGTCCTTCCCGCTAGGAAGCCGCAGCCGTCTAACGGAGATTATCCGTGGAGGCCAAGCAGGAGGGTGGGTGGCCCAGGCAGTACCCCAGGTGAGTCTCCCCACACTGAACGGGGGGCACGGGCCCACAGGACAGAAGAGGAAACCAAGCTTCCTACGCTGACGAGGTAGCAGTGGGGACGCTGGCCCGTCTGGGCCTCCAAAGAGGTCCGCTCTCTCCATGTTCCCACTCTGCCTCCCACAGACCCAGGAAGGCTCAGCCCGGCACAGGGGCTAATGGCGTGTTCCTTAGCGACCGAGAGGTTCGGAGCAGCTGAGCACGTGTTGGGGTGTAAAAAGGTCTGAGTAAGGGTGATTACGTGGGCTGAGGACGGGGCCAGCAGAGGCCAGGTAACACGGTCCCCTCGACTCCTGCCTTTCCTGGGGTCAGCCCTCCGTCCTCCTAGGCCTCAGTTTCCCCCATCTGGCCCAGACGGTGAGTGCGATAAAGAGGTCTCTTCCCACTAAAGGGAGGCTGTTCCTGGAGAGTCGGTCTCTGGCTTCTCTGGTTTATAGTTTCTGGTTCCATGGAAATGAGTCCAGGGCCCCCCGCTCCCTATTCTCAGCCCCACTGAGGTTGACTGAATGGTGTCCTGGGGGCAGGGGGTGGAGCGGGGAGCAACAGCCTGAAGGGTACAGGCTTTTCTCGGGAGCAAGACCATGTCTTGGAACCTCACAGACGGGGTGGTGGCACGACACTGTGAATGCGGTCAATGCCACCGAACTGGACAATTCAAGACGGTTCATTTAAATGGGATATGGATTTCACCTCAATTTCTAAAGTTAAATCATGTCATTTTCACTCTTAAATTCCACAATTTCACATTTCTTTAAAAAATCAGGACCCAAATCATTCTGCCTTAAAGAAAAGGCCTTCAAATATTGGCCCTGTCTCTCCTTATTCTACCTGGATGCCACAGGCCCCAGATGTACAGACCCTGGGTGGCTCCAGAGAGTAGCTCCCGGCTGTGACGCTCCCTCCCTGCCCAGAACCTTCTCCCTACACATCCCTGTCTGTCTCCTACTCAGGCTTCAAAACTCCAACCACCAAGTGGAGGCCCATTTGCACTATTCAATATGGCAGCCCTGGCCACGTGTGGCTAACTGAGCCCTGGAAGTGTGGCTAGTGTCAGGAATTGAGTTTTCATTCATTTTAATTTAAACAGACACATGGGGTTATATTCTCCTATACTGAGCAGTGTTACTCCAGACAGATGGCTCTCGAATTTTAACCTGCATCATCATCTGAAGGACAAGCTGGTCCAGGGGCCACACTTTGACAATCACGGACCAGAGCTGGAAGTTCTAGACTTGGAGGACTCTAGACTCCTAGGGTGTAGACATGGATGTCCTCAATTGGTTTTCCAAAGTGTGATCTCTAGACCAGCTACAATGGCATCACCTAGGAGCACCACAGAAATGTAAAAGCCTCCACGGCCAGCCTGGTCACCCTGGGTCAGCACAGCATTTTGGCAGGATCCCCGACAGCCTGCCATTGCTTCAGGTCAGGGGCTTTGTTGATCTTTGTATCCCCAGCACTGACTCCAGGAAAGAGTAGGTGCTCAACAAATGCTTAGAAAAAGAAAGGAAGGGGAGATGGAGGTTACCCCGCTGGGAAATGAATTTCTTATTGGGTAAAATTTTCCAAAGAACAGGGCCCCAGTCTACATCCTGAATGCACAGTCACTGTCTCAAAATGCATTAGTAGCCGAGCATCGGGGCACACACCTGGAATCCTGGCTGAGGCAGGAGGATCACAAGTTTGTGGCTAGCCTTAGCAACTTGGGAGGCCCTAAGCAACTTAGTGAGACCCCGTCTCCAAATAAGGAATAAATAAATAAAAAGGAGAGGGATATACCTCAGTGGCAGAGCACCCCTGGGTTTAATCCCCAATTTAAAAAAAAAAAAAACTGTCTTCTATGGGGGAAAGAGACAAATAAGGAGGCCCTCAGAGAGGAGATCAGCAGGTTGTCCCGGGCACTTATTTACAGATCTTTATCCCCACATCCCTGGTCCTCACACCTTCTAGACCACTACCCTGGAGGGTTCTGACTGCTGGCTCCCCCCCCCCAGGCTTTCTAACTGAGCGGTAAAGACGGCAGCCTGGCTCATGGGTGTCCCAGGTATTGAGAGGAAGGTTTAGAATCAGGTCATGCAGCCAGGTACAGTGGCACAAGGCCATGATCCCGGCAACCTGGGAGGCTGAGGCAGGAGGATTGCAAATTCAAGGCCTGTCTCGGCAATTGAGCGAGGCCCTGAACAATGTAGTGAGACTCTCTCTCCAAATAAAAAATTCAAAAGGGCCGGGGATGTGGCTTAGTGGTAAGGTGCCCCCGAGTTCAATGCCCAGCGCACCCCCCGGCCCCCCAATTCGGTTCGGGCACCAACCCCTTCCCGGTTCGGTTTTTTTCTTTTGGGTTTTTTGTTTGCGGGATTTCGTTCCTTCCCCGCCCCCCCTCCACTTCTGTCCTCCCCAGCATCTCCTCAGTTATCTCCAGGAATCAGAACTCAATCCCAGCCTTTTTGAACTGGAGGGAACCCCAAAGAGCCATAGAGACACCTGAGGCCCAAGAGATAAAGTGGTCCAATCAGTGCAGGTGAGGTGAGGTCCAGCTCTCCAGACCCCTGACTCAAATCTCTGGGCCCAAGACATGATCCCGGCCTGACAGTCCCCTGCCTGTGAAGTTCTCAAGGGACCGGATCCGAGGGTTGCCAGGTTGAAGCAGAAAAGTAAAAATGAATGACCAGCATCTCCTTCCCACCACCAGACGCCGGGGACAAGGAAGCTCAGGAACCAGGAGCAGCCCGTGAACTAACAGGATGTGAGTCCCCCCGTCTGGGGACAGCTAGGGGCTCTTGCTCAGCAGGGAGTGGGCAGTCATGGACAGTCATGGACAGTCCTCGGTAGGGGCAGACTTGTCTCAGAAGCCCTTGGATGTAAGCACCTTCTAAAATTTTAATTTTATTTACTGTAGGGCTGGGGATCAGACCTAGCGCTTCACATATGCTAGGCAAGTGCTCTACCACTGAGCCCCGGCCCCAGCCCTTTGCATATTTTTTTTTTAATTTAGAGACAGCGTCTCACTAAGGAGCCTTGCTAAGTCGCTGAGGCTGGCTTTGAACGTGTGATCCTGCTGCCCCAGCCTTCAGAGCTGCTAGGATCACAGGTGCGCACCACTGCACCTGGCCTTGAGTTTTCCTTTAAATGGCTGTATCACGATTGCTCTAGACACTCCTCTCTTGCTGATGTGGGGATTATGTCCTGCTATTCTATAGATATAAAAAGTGCTGCAATGACCACTCATTTTACATACAGTGTCATGTACTTGGTTAATTATTTCCTTAGGTCGAATGCTCACGGGAGGAAGCAACGTATCAAAAGGCAACATATTTTTCCAGCCTTGGGTCCCTATGCCATATTGTACCCAGTATGGCCCTGCTCTCAGAGGCTGAGGTCCTTGTGGGGAACTTTCCCAGAGCAGATGGGAGCTGAGCTGGAGGCTGGAAGATGTTTAAACAGAACCTGAGCTGGAGGCAGGCTGGTGTAGCAGGGAGAGCACCAACGTTAACTGTGTGGCAAGCCTGGCTCTGTCTCATAAAACTGTGTGACCTTGGGCAAGTTACTTAACCTCTCTGAGAGTCCGTCTTCATCTAGAAATGGAGCTGTTATTACTTACCTTTCACTTGCATAAGGGTCCATTCAGTGTTTCTTGAATGAATGAAATAAATTAATGGCTAGGAGGAGGATGAAAACAGAAGACCAGGAAAGGAGAGAAGAGGAGGAGAAGAGCATCGCATACTTTTTGCAAGCTTTGTGGACTGCCTCCTGAGGCCAAAGGCTGGTCCTCTTAGGGCCTCCTGGGAGAGAAGGCTGGAAAGGCATGGTCCAGGCTGAACGGACCTTTGACCCCCATCCAGCTTGTTTCTTCCTCTCTGGGAGCTGGTGGCTGGTGAGTCCCTGTGTCCCTGTTTCACAGTGATACCCCAAGGCAGAACCCCACCCCCAGGCAGAGCCCCTCGCCCAGCCGAGCCGGCTCCCGCAGTGGGCTCCGCTGGCCCCAGCTGAGCCCTCTACCTTGATGGATCTGCCACCGTCCGGTGAAGGGACCCACGCTGCCTGCCAGTTCACACTTCTGAGCCCACGGGCCATTGTCTCCTAGAAACCAGAAAAGCAACACCCAATGGTCAGTGGCGGGGGACACTTTCACCAACTCTCCCTCCTTGGCCCTACAGCCCCGTGCACCGCAGGAGGCTGGTCAGAGAAGGACTTGTAGAAATAACCCTGAGCCCCCCGCCTTGAAGAAGTGCCTGACAAGGGCTGTCTTACTAAGCTGCCGGGGAGGGGCTCCCTGCCTCGGCCAGGCCCCCCGAGCCTCTCGCCTTACACGGCTCGCCTTGCTTATGGGCTTAGCCATCCCAGCAGCATGGGCATCAGCACCAGCCAGCAACTACTCACTGAGCATCTACGATGCACCTACTGCTTCCTGCCCAGCCTCTCGTAAGCTCCCAACATGCCAGGGAGTAGGTTCTACTAGAAGCCCAAGTTTTTGAAGCTTGGACTGTGACCATCACGCTCCCAACAGTAGATACGGATTCACACCCAGGTCTGGACTTGACCCCAAAGCAGTGCTGTTACCACTGCCCTTGTTCCAGGAAGGGACCTGAGACACACAATCCATGTATGGGCCCTTCAGAGGGGTCACTGGTTCAGCTCCATGAGGGCCACTCAGCCAAAAGATATGACCTGGCCACCAATAGCGCCTGGAGTCTATGGGACCAGGAGGCTGCTGAGCGGCACCGAGGCTGCAGAAGTTCACAAGGTCAAAGTCATTCATTGGCAATGAAGAGCAAGACCTGGGAGGCCCTGCTCGACACACACGGGGCCAGCGAGAAGCACCGTTCAGACACACCTTTGCAGGGCCCCAGCCATCGAGTGCCCAGTAGACACATGCTCACATGGAAGCCAACCACCACCATCAGGGCCCAAGTTCAAAGCGAGCCTCGGCCCCATTAAAGAGGACCATTGACCAGGCTCTGCTCTTTGTGGGGCAGCTGCAGGGCTACCCAGGGCACGCAGCCCGGCTGGCTGGCTCTCACTACTTTACCTGTAAACCAGAGGAGCGTGTTTTCCTTCGCCGTGTGGTCCACTTTGTCCTTGATCTGACCCACCAGACTGTCCATCTCCCGGAGACCCGCCCGGTACGGGCTTTGGCCCCGTGGGTTTGCCCGTGGTCCAGCCACAGCTAGGGGCACATGCATGTGGGCCAGGCCCACGTAGAGCAGGAAGGGTCTTCCGCTGGCACTGAAACAAAGGGGGACACGAGAGGTAACTGCGCCTCTGGGATCCCCCCTGACCTGGGGGACCCCCCCAAAGGGTCTGCCACGGGCTCAAGGACACATTCATCTATAACCTTCTAAGGAAAGGTGGAGCTCATCTGGTCAGCAGGTTATAAACGAGAATGTTGTAGTCACAGTCCTTCAGCGTTTACTCAGAACATACTACAGGGGACTCGTGTTGTCCAAGCTCCTCCTCCTCTCCATGCAAAGGCCCTGTGGCCTCTGGTATCGCTCAGAAATTATTTTTCCCTACCCCATCCCCAGGCAAGAGCAGCTGTAGAACCACTACCTATCCTCTTCTGTAGAGGGCCCCTGGTGGAGGCCCTTCCCACAGGACATGCCCACGGGAGAGCGTCTGTTAAGCACACAGAGAAGGGGGGCCCCTTATTCACCGGTTCCCCCAGACACTCGGCTTTCAAATCATCCCCATGTTCTCCTGAGCTCACTCTGGTCCACATCACCCCCAGCCTCAGCCGTGCCCCCAGAGCCTCTTGCATGACTGCACTTGTCCTCAGCTCTCTCTCTGACAGGCGTAAAACCCAGGACACCCGTCCCGAGACAGGGCCTCGGTCTTTCCCGTGCAGCTGACGGTTCCTCACCACGGGCCCACAGCTGGGCAGCCAATGGGGCAGCCACAGGTCTCGGGGGCTATTTGCTTTGAGTTAATGGAAATCAAGTCAAATTTAAAATCCAATGCCTGGGATGCTTCAACACAGATGACCCTTGAGGACATCCTGCTAATCCAGTCACCAAAGGACAAGTACATATGGTTCCACTCGTCCGCAGCAAAGTTAAATTCAGAGACAGAAAGTAGAACAGTGAGTGGCCCAGGAGGAGGGGGGAGGAGGAGGGGGAAGGAGGGAGACCAAGGCCCCCGGGGACCGTTGGTGTACACCCTGCAGGACATCATCTTTGATGGTGTCAGATTAACAGGTGCAGAGTGTTGGTCAGGAGAGACGAAAGTGTTCTGGAGGGAGACAGGGGTGACGGTCACCCAGCAATGTCCCTCTACTTAACGCCGCAGAACTTTGCACCGAAACAGTTAAGGCAGCGATTTTCATGTTCGTGTACGTGCCACATTCAGATCTGTGACTCCCACGTAATGGCGTGCTGTGGCTCACTGTCACCCTCGGTGGTATCTCGTGGGTGGCTAGAAATCAGCTGCAGTGAGAGGATTTACCCCAAAGACACGGGCCTTCCCTCCAGGCCGGGGCCGTTTTCCGGGAGCTCACTACCACACGGTGGTGCCATGCCCGCCCCGGGCCCCACCCCGCCATCCTCCTCCACACTCCCACCTTTATCAAAGTCACATCAGCACCAAAGGTCCCACCTCCTAGTCCCATCCCTTTAGGGGTTAGGGCTCGCACATACGAACCTCGGGGGACACAGAAGTTCAAAGAGGCAGAGGAGAACGAGGGGGGGCAGAGTGGAAAGATGAAGGACCCAGGCTTGGGAGGGCTGCGGCCACATCTCGGGATTTTTTATTTCATGGCTACACAACTCTGATTTTACGCAACTGACTTACTCTCCGTCACCTGTAAAATGGGGAAACCACATCCCCGACAAAGCTGCTCCGATTACTAACTGGCCCCCAGCAAGCGCTGAATGAACAGCAGCTTGTTTGTTAGTCGTTACGAAGGCAGGAAGGCAGGCCACGGCGGCGAGGGTACCTCTTTCCTGCATCCTGAGGACAGATGCGGATTCACAAAGGAGATGTCATGCAGGGTGGACACAAACGGGTCCCTGGGCTACATCTTGAGTATGGGTCTGGGCTGAATGGAAAGCAGAGTGGGAGCGACCGGGTGCTCTCAGGGAGAAAAAAAGTCGGATTATTAGTGTGCTTCCACTTCTGTCTGAAAAATGTCTCCTTCGGTCGTCCTTAATGAAGCTGCGGCACAATGTGATTGTGCCCGGCCGAGGGTTAGCGCTGCAAGAACACAGGCAGATCTGTGGGAAGGGTCATCTCTGGGGTGTGGGACTCAGGATGATGGGTTTTTTCCTGTTGGCTTATCTCTGTTTTCAGGGATCTCTAAAGGGAACAGGCTTTTTGTGTGGCCAAACAAGCAGAGTGGTGGGCAGAGAAAAATACCAAGGACAGTGCCCGGGAGGAGATTCCAGGACAGCAGGCCGGGCAGTGCCCGGAGATGTGCTGAAGATGAAGACCAGGGTCCGTCGAGCCCGAGAAAACATCTGCTGGGAAAAGCAGAACAACAGGCAAGGGGTGTCCCCTCGCTAGGAGGGTGGCCAGCTGGTGTCTGGCCAGAGACAGGCAGGCCTGGGTGAGCTGGGAGGGAGGGGCAGCTCCCCACCGCTGGCCTCTGGGGTGACCCCTCGGATCTCTAGAAGGGAGGCAGCAGCAGTCACTTGCCCCTCTACTTCTCCTTCTCCCTCTGGACCCTGGCGTTATAGCCACCTTCACAAACCCGCGCTTGGTCCAACAGTTCTCCGTGTAGAAACCTCCCGGGGTGCCCTGCAGCCTGCTGGTCAACCCCGACACTGCGGAGGGCATTTGTGACCTTCCAACACGGGTCTCTTCCCTGCCTCCCGTCCCCCTCCAGGGCTCTGCCTGTCTGCCAGCCTCCCACCCCACCTCCTCCACCTTCCTGCACCTCACCATGCCGTTCCCACCCCGGCAGCCCCCTGCCTCAGCTCCCCGAGTCGCTGGGACTACAGACTTATACCACCGTGCCCAGCTCTTCCTTTTCTGATGACACGAATCCCATCCCGAGGCTCCACCCTCATGACCTCATGTGAACCTAATTACCTTCCAAAGGTCCCACCTCCTAGTCCCATCCCCTTAGGGGTCAGGGCTTGCAGTACAAAGCTAGGTGGGGACACAGACCTACAATCTTGGACATGCGGGGACAGTGGCCACACTCTAGGTTTCCCAGAAGCCTGGGACTTCAGATATCCTAAGCCACCATTTATGCCGTCCCAATGCACTCACTCGGGTTCCACGCACAGTCCCAGACCCTCCCTGTAAAGGGCCCACGGGCTGCGTGACGCGGGAGCCCATGACATGAACTCCCTGCCTACTGTCCCATCAGAGCCTTGTCTTCAAATATCCAGAGCCAGGATCGGAGTTCAGCAATACTGAGACGAAGTGGAGACCCAGGGAAAACTCTCAAAGGCTGGGGGCATGCCTCGGTGGCAGGGTGTCTGTCTAGTATGTGGGAGGTCCTCGGTTCAGTCCCCAGTACCCCCCCCTCACACACACACCTTCAAAGGAGTGCTGGGGGGGAGGTTTCTTCCCAAGAATAAGCAGGAAGACACCCTCGAGGGGCACCTGGTGGTTCTGACAAACGGCCCCAAGTGGAAGGAAGGGCAGGTGGGGTGGGGTCCCGAAGGAGGAAGGAGCGAGGGTCTAGGGGCCTTTTCTGTGGAGGCTCAGAAACTCATGGGAGAATCAGCAGGTTAAATCCCAAAGAAACCTGCATGCCTGAGAATTAGCTTCTACACAGTGAAAAGCCAACAGGATCCATGACTTTAACTAATGAGTAAATTAGCAAAGTCTTCACTCTTCTTCACTGGATAAGGAGAACGGAGTTCATGTGTGTCTTAACTCATTCAGGTACCGTGGCCACGGCACAGCAGGCACTAAATAGCCCCTGGTCCCCAGCCATAGCTCCCCCTCAGAAACCTGCGCAGTTTGAGGCTTGATGTGGTGGTGCATGCCTGTAATCCCAGCAACCCAGGAGGCTGAGGTGGGAGGATCACAAGTTCAAGGCCAGCCTCAGTAACTTAGCAATAAATAAAATAAAAAAGACTAGGGTTGAAGCTCAGTGGTAGAGCATCCCTAGGTTCAATCCCCCAGCTTCAGTTGCGGGGTGAGGAGGAAAAAAAAAAGATAGAAGAAAAAGAAAAAAAAATATCCCTGTGTTGTTAGAGATATTGCAAAAGCAAGGTTGTCCCCACCTGCCGGGAAGCATCTGCTGGCCGTGGTACATGACAGCCTAAAACCATCCAAAGTTCCAGGGACATTTGACTCTTCACGGGGGAGAAGGGACTTTGCCCTTTTTATCGTAGCAATCTGAGAAAAATCAACAGTGTTTCTCCAAAAAGTCCAGCTGAACCCTTCACGTGTGATCTTGAAGGCCCTCGGAGGCTGCTCCTGAGAGTCAGGCCTTCAGCCGTGGATTGTTTCATCAAGAGAACATGATAACTGGGTCTCCCTCGTTGCCCACTCTCTCCGCTGCTCACTCTCCCAACATGGCTGAGCAAAGGGTGGAAGATTCTTGCACATCTGAGGAACAGAGCTGATCCCTACCCACAGGGGAGTCTCTTAATTCTGCACAAGCAGATGGTCATGCGGCACTTTTTTTTTTTCTCCTTTAGGGTGAGGCCTGTGGACCTAATGGAAATGACTCCATTGACCTTGAGGAGTTTACAGTCTGGAAGGAAAGGAAAGATGAGCACACACTGGGTCACTCTTGGCTCTGACCAGGCAGAGGCTGCACACCAGCAGGCCTCGCAACCCGCAGGGTGTGCTAGAGAAACGCTGTGGTGCAGTTTTGTTTTTTGCTTTTCGTTATTTTTAATTGGTAAGTTCTAACATTTTAAGATCATGGGATTTCACATGAGAGGTAAATATCCTGTCTCTCTTGGAAATGGGAAAACCTGGCAATCCAGGCTCACATTCCCATCCATCCCACTATGCAGCTGGAGCTAGCGGGCAGCTGTTCCCTTACATGGGGTGTATGCGTGCATGTTCACCGCAGGCCCTGCCATTCCTTAAGGCCTCCCACTCAGCCTGCTTCTCTCTTTCAGGTTACCTTTTGGGCCCCATGGATGCAGAAATGTGTATCCCCGTTTGACAGGCTGAATGATGATCTCCAGAGATACCTGGGGTCTAATTCCTGGAATTTGGGAATGTTACCTGATACAGCAGGTGAGACTTAACAGGTGCAATTACGTTAAGGATCCTGAGATCAGGAGATTACCTTAGATTCTCCTGGTTGACCCTAAATGCAATCACAAGTATCTTTAAAAGAGGGAGCCAGGGAGATTTGACAACAGAAGTCAAGATCAGAATAGCGCGGCCATTAGCTAAGGAGTGCCAGCAGCCACTGGAAGCTAGAAGAGAGGAGGAAAAATTCTCCATTGGAAACTCCAGAAAGAAGCAGCCTCGCTGACATTTTGATTTTAGTCCTTTAAAGACTCATTTCCAACATCTGTCCTCCAGATCTGCAGGAGAGGAAGTTACTGTTGCTTTAACCACTAAATTGGTGGTCATTTGTTACAGCAGCAACAGGAAACTAATACACCTCACTAACTGACAAATTCAACCAATGTGCCCAGAATGGAGGAGGAGGCCCTACCCGCCTCTAGGAGGAGCCTCCAGTCTGGTAAAGAAAGACAGAATAATCCTGACTGTGGAACATGAGCAAAGCCAGACGTGAGACACTCCCAGAAACATCTAGAAACATCAGTGAGGAACTTATAACCAGGACCAGAGGTTCCAGGGGGATAGTCTTCCCGTTTTACCTACAGGAGACATGCATGCATCCTTCTTTGTTGGGCTACACCCCAAAACTGCCGTGGCCTTGGTGGGGCTGAGGTCAGGGCACACAGTGCTCGGAGGGCTGGGCAGGGACGGGCCAGCACCGGGGCGGCGGGCTCCTCACCTTGCCTGCTGGATGAACTGGGTCGCCTTCTCGGTGTACTTCCGCGCGAGGCCGCTCAGGTTCACGGGCTGTTCCACGATGTGGAGGTTCTCATAGAGAGGAAGGGCGATGTCTGGGTAGCAGTCCCTTTCAAGGTTCCTGCGTGGAGGCCACAGACAGGGAAGTCCTCATTTCCCCGACTTCAGGAGCCACAGAGGAGCCTGAAAGGCTTTACTGCAAGATTGCACCCAGAACGCTGCACAGGCTGGCTGCAAGCGACATTGCCAGTCGCCATCTGCCCCAGGTGTCACACCAACAGAGAGCACTGTCCCCCATTCCCTTGGAAAGGCTGGCCAGACTCGGGCACGCGGACACGCTTACAGCAGGGCATGTCACTGCTGCTCCCGTTTTTCAGGGAGATCCACGGAGGTCTGACCAGGGCAGCTGATTTCAATCAGAGTCCCAGAGCCAATGAGCAGCCCCCCGTCTGGCTTTCTCCACTAACTCTGTGTGGCCGGGCGACATCTGGTACTGCCCCAAGTCCATGGTCGGGAATTCCCGGGACACCAGGTGTCGGGACAGGAGGGGATATAAGAAGGGCTGGGCAATTGTAACTCTGAACCCTGTCTGAAGAATCTGGAGAAAGTTTAACAAATGAGGGGAAAGCGGGCAGAGGAGCCCAATAGATAACACCTCCCTGGAACAGCAAATTCTGCCCTGGGTCTGAGAGACTAAAATGCGTTCGCCATCGGGCTGCTCCGACGGCGAGCCTCATGGTCAGGACCTGAGGTTGTCGGTGTCTCCTTACTGAAGCGCCCCAGGAGCAGGAAAGGAGGTAACAGATGCTTTGCACAGGAATTTAGGACATACTCCAGCCCTCTGCCCCGACCCCCTCAGAGAACGAGGGGAGAAGATGAGAACCGTGGAGAAGGACGGGGCTGGGGAATGCAGCGTGAGAGGCCTAGAAGGAGCCCAGACAGGAACTTGTGAAGGATGTGAAACTCCCTGTTCTGCCTATGTGCATGCAAACCCCACTAGAGAGGCTCAGGAGGTGAGGCCAGACCCAGCACAGTTTTTTGTTTTTTTAAAGACAGAGTTATTACTGCTGGGTGTTGTCATGCTGATTCCATTTTGGGGTTGAATTTTTCAGCTGTTTGTGATCTGTTACAACTCCACCATCGTTTACATCTGGGGGGGCGTGGCGTGATGGAGATGGAACCCCAGGGTGCTCTACCACTGAGCGACGTCCCAGTCCTTTTTATTCTTTCACTTTGAGACAGGATCTCCCTAAGCGGCTGAGGCTGCGGTCCTCCTGCCTCAGCCTCCAGGGTAGCTAGGGTTCCCGAGGTGTGCCACCACACCTGGAAGGTTTCTCCATTTCTTCCAGAACCAAGCATGGAGGAGGCAGGCCCTGAACTCACAGAGAACCAGCCTGGAATCTTGATTCCACTCTCCCCCCCAGCTCTGTGAGGGCAGGGTGGACACCCGCCTCACCCCGTGGCTCTGTGGATCAGAGCTAGGCGGAGGGAATGTCCAGAATGTCATGATTCTCAACAAACAGCCGTTATTATATTAACTGTTGTTACTGATGAACCAGCTGAGACTCACATACCCCGGCGGCCCAGACACTTGTGACCTAAGAAATGACCACAGAGCGGCCCATGGACAAATGGAGCAGAGGGCGTGTGCTGACGCCTTCCCTGAGTACCGCTTAGGATCTGTTTTTCAGGGGGGTACTGGGGGTGCCCCCCCACTGAGCTACATCCCCAGCCCTTTCTATTTTTTGAGACGGGGTCTTGCTGGAGTTCTCAGTTGCTGAGGCTGGCCTCTAAGTTGAGATCTTCTTGCCTCAGCCTCCCAAGGCATGAGATTCCAGGTGTGTGCCACCGTGCCCAACTAATGACCTTTCCCTGACCATAACTGCATAGATGCTTATTGGAAAACCTTTTGGAAACAAAAGAAGAAAATGAGACCCTTTAGCTGGACAACCAGAGTGAGCCCTTGTTAACGTGTTGGCACACCTCTTTGCAGTCGCTCTTGACGATATGGAGAGAGACGTGCTGAAGATCCTTCTGATAACAGTCTCTTCCTTTTTCACCTACAGTTATATCATGAGCACTTTTTTTTTAATTGAATATGTTTTTAAAACACCATTTAGGGTCTTCATGACATTCTGATGTCAGAATTCCGGCCAACTGCTCTGGGCGGGAAGAAGCTCAAAAGGATCTCTGGGTACTTTCTCTCCCTGCCGCCCTCCCTCTCTCCTGATGTCCAGTGTCTGGGCCAGGTGAGTGGCCCAGGAGCAAAGCCAGGAGGCGGAGGAGGAGGGAGGCCCCACCTGTGTGAGACCTTGGCAGCAGAAGTCTCTCCCCACTGGAGCTAAACAATCCAAGGAACCTGGAAAATTCCATCAGAAATACTCCGTGGCTCTCCTCTTTGCATTAGAGTGCAAACAAGGCATTTCCATCTGCCCTGGACACACACTCTGACTTATTCGCTGTCTTACAGTCTCCTGTCTGCTTCTCCTGCTGACTCTGGGCTTCCCCGTATGCTGAGGCCCACAGCCAGCGCGCTGGAGAGCGTTACCTGGAGGAGCCGTTGCCCCGTGGACACGCTGGGCAAGGAGGGTGGTCGTAGCCCGGGGCATCAGTACAGCCCATATCGTGGCTGTATGGAATCCCAAAGTAGTAGTCAAAACCTGGAACAGAAGCAACCAACCCGTTAGCGCCCCGGCTCCGTGGCTCCTCTGAACGCCTGCCTTCTCACACCCAGGACAAGAATTTTAATATCCCACGGTTTAATATTGCAGTGCTCTGGAGTATGTAATTAAAAGTGGATTTGATTAATATCCTTTCGAAGTATGCAAAGAAAAATCACTTTGCGAGGTTCAGCTATAAGACTACTTTTGCAAAACACCTCGTGATTCCAGCTAACCCAGGCTGGGAGGGAACTGGACAGAAACGAACTGTCTCACATTCTTCGTGAAAGGACGGACACCTTCAGGTGAAGTATCTGGTGAAAACCTACTAAGCACCTGACACGTAAAGGGGGAAAAAATAAAATAAATCCTACCCTCAAGAGACTTTCCACCTAAAGGGGAAATAAGACGTGTAGCTTCAGCCCTGAGAGAGGCAGGTGAGTCGGAAGAGGAAGTTACTCCCCGACGCAGAGGCGGGGTTGGGACGGGGCAGGAATCTCAAACGCTTCTTGAAGGATGGGCCTGGGAGGGCCGATGGGATGAGGGCTGGGGCGGTGGTGTGCAGGGAGAGAAGGATGCGGGAGACGTGAATGGCCTGTGTGGACATTTTATTCTGACATCCTCCCCGAGAGAAGCTCAACCCTCTCTCCAAAGGACAAAACCAGTGGCCAACCAGAATGCAATCCCGGGAGTTCCTCGGCTCTCTTTGTTTCCTTAGAGGTGGACGGAGCTCCAATCTCAGGCAGCATATCATTCACCCAGGGTCTCCAACGCCAGGCCTGGAGAGCAGGGAGGGCTGGCTTCCGCTTCCTCTTCCGTCCCTCCATGGGCCTCCCACCTGCTCAGGGCACTTTTCCTACCCTCACCAAGTCACCTCCAGTTCCCACGTGCCTCACGCCTTGGTGGCTTGGCCTGGAATTCCCTGCTCTGCGTCTCTCACAGGTGAAGCTGAGTCAATCCTGCCCAGCCCAGTTCTGGGCAGTTTCCTAGGGAACCCCCAGTCCCCCGGCAAGTCCCATTCACCCCATCCTCCATTCCTTCCCTAGTCCTGGAGCAGCAGCCTGCAAACTTATCATCGGCGTGGGTGACAGGGGTCTTCCCCAGTGGCGCTGCACTCCTTGAATTTGGACGGTAGATCTTTGTTGACCCAGCAGGTGGTGTACACTGAAGGACTAGTAAATGTTAGTTGTACCAGGGAAAAGAAAACGGGAAGTTCCGTGCTGACCTGGTTTGCGCAGATTTTTTGGATGCCTCACAGGTAAACAACACAACCCTGAGATGTCACTGCATTTAATGTCAGGCTGAGCCGAGACCAGGGTCAGACAGTAAATATTTTAGGTTTTATGGACCAGATGGTCTCTGTTGTGGCTTCTCGGTTCTACTGTTTGAGCACAAAAGCCCCCGTAAACAACCCGTGCACAGACAGGACGGCTGCTTTAGGTAAAAGTTTACTTGCAAAAACAGGGAGCTTCTGGGAGTCAGCCCCTAGGTCTACTGGGACCCCTGGTCTAGACCACGGTGTCCCCTGATTGGGGGAGAAGCCTGGCTGTGTCCTGGGGCACTGACCCAAGAGACCACCAAGGACTTTGGGAAACCATTAATATCTTGGTGAATTGGTCACTGAGAGGATCCATCATTCGGCCAAGGACTTTCACAGAATCGGCTCTGACCACTTCATCTTGACCTTCCTCCCCAAGGTCAAGGGGGAGAGGTCTGAGAAGCAAAGGGCAGCAGGAAGGAGCCAGAGGCCGTGTCCCCTACAGGGACCTGCAGCCCCTGCTTCAGCAAACCCAGGGGACAATTTTGACTTCTTTCCGGAGCAGCTGTGTCGGGACCTCTCAGGTCTGATGTTCCCTGAGGTGCAAAGAGCTGGGAGACGACATGAAGATGGGTGGGTGGAAGGTAGGCACCAGGTAGCAGTGAAGGGGGCCAGGAAGGCGCTGGCAAGAGAGCTGGGGGGCTACGGGGCAGCACTGGCCCCCCAGATGCACCCGAGTGGCCTTGTGAACAAAGATGTCCTGACCTAGGCTGAATGACCCCGAGGACGGGAGGCGTGGAGCGAGCGGGCCTCTTCACCCAGACAGCCTCATTTTCTGTTTCCCCAGTAATGAATCCCCCCAGCAATTCTTACCGCGGAAGTTGGGGTGATAAGAGCCATGATGCCCAAGATGCCATTTGCCTGTGGATAAACGAGACAGAGATGTTCAGAGGGACCCCTGCAGACCCCGGGCCCCCGGAGGGGCTGACCACACACTCCGACCTCCATCGGCCCTGCCCTTCACTGAGGAGCAAAGACAGCCTGCCAACGTGCTCGAGAGCCAAGCTTGCTTTCTGGGACCAGACCCAGGGGAGCCTGCGGGGTCACAGCAAGCAACGGTGACCACAAGGCAGGAAAGCCTTAGGGAAAGCGGGAGACAGGCCACCCCCAGAGCCCAGGGCACAGCCATCTGAGCCGACGCCCTACAGACACAGCAGCTTCAGAGCCGCCCTCTGCTGCAGCCTCCCACGCTGGGGCCAGGCCAAGGCACAGGGTGGCCCAGGAAGCAGGTGCACTGTGCCACATAGTCTCAGAACTGTCCAGAGGAGCTGGACAACTTGCTCTCTCACCTTGTCAACAGCCGGCAGCGGCTGGGAAGAGGCAGCCTCCGCAGCAGCTCAGGGCGGAGACACCTACCAGGCAGCAAATGAGAAACCTCGGCGCCCGCCCGCGGCTCCCGCTCTGTAAGTGTGTTTGTTCTCGGAGGATAATTGGGCAAAGGGCAGCCGATCCTGACAATGTCGGGGCCTCCGATCTGTTCCTTCCACTCTGGACTAGCCCCCTGGGAAATGTCCCCAAGGCAAGGGGGCAAAGAAACAGATGTGATACAAAGATCTAATAGTGGTGGCCATAAAGACACAAAGGGGGGTAAGAGTCACAGCAGCCAAGGAGTATGGCTAAGGGATTTACCTAACGTGGCCTCAATGAATACTACCCAGCTATCTTTATTATGTTTTTTTTTTCCCCTAGTACTGGGGATAAAACCCAGGAGCACTCTACCACTGAGCTATTTTTTTGGGGGGTGGGGGGACAGGGTCTCATTAAATTACTGAGGCTGGCCTCGAACTTGTGATCCTCCTGCCTCAGCCTCTGAAGTCACTGCAATTACAGGTGTGCACCACTGTGTCTGGCTACCCAAGTAGCTTTTAAAGACAAATGCACAAATAAAGAGTCTGTAAGAGTTCATTATAGAACTCCCTTCTTACAATTGCTCCACAGCAGTTGGAAAAAAAAAAATCAACAAAAAACTGGGGAAAATGGGTTAAGCATTGTATGGGATGCTTGGATTAAACATTGCATGGAAATATAAAATTACATTAAAAATCTAAAAATTATTTTAAATGATAATAAATATGTAAAGTTGAATCACACGGAAATATAAAAGAACGTGGACAGGAAGGAAAATTAGGCCAAATATACAACGAGGCAAAATGATCGAGAGTGGAGGCGGAGCGTGAGACATGTAAAGGATGTCAGTATTCCTTGGCAGGTTTTTAATTTTTCCTATAATTGTACTTTAGTTCACGATTTCAACAAAAGGAAGGGCTTACGTATCCTCTCTAGGTCACGGAGAGCGCAGTGATTTGGGGGTGGGGTGGCTAAATGGCAGGCCGTCCACCTGTCGCTTACCAGGCACAGTGGGCATGGAGAAGCTGGGGGCCCCTGCAGGACATGGGCTCCCAAGGCCACAGCCCCGGCTGCAGCTCGGGCTTTTGGAGTCAGGCAGCCTGGGGACCACACCGTCCTCGGCAGTGAGGCTGAGACGGATGCATGTAACCATCTGGTAAGAACAGCCGGCCCCCAGCGGGAGCCCCACGCACCTCCCCTTGGGGTTGATGTCCTTAGCACAACTATACCTCAAGGTACGGGAGGAGGGGACTGGGAGGGAGAAGGTTGGACCTCAATTGGCCCTTCCTCCTACAACTGGGGCTTCTGGGACTTGTCCTTCTGGGACCACCAATGTCCTCCTCCAGTTGGTGGCCTGTGAAAGGACGTCGGACTCTCTAGCCCGGAGGAGGAGCTGCCATAGCCAGAGGCAGCAGGCCCTCTGCCATAGCCAGAGGCAGCAGGTAACCTCTTGCAGGTTACCCGGGAGCTCCAGGGCCCACCTCCAGGGACCCCGAAATCCCGGGGTTGATGGCACAGCCTCCTGTGCCACTCCTCGGTGGAGGAGGGAGCCAGGGATCCACTGGACCCGGGTCCTGGTGGGTAACAAGCAGCAGCAGCCTGACGTGCTGCGGGTCCGCCGGGCTGCCCTGGCCTCTGCAGGGAGACTGGCCGGGAAGCAAGACGCTGGGGGAGGTGGCCAGGCCACATGGAGCGGCCTTTTCCAGTCTGAGGCTGGTTTCTCTCGATGTCCAACAGGGGAATGATCATCTCAAAGGCCTGCTCCGGCTCTGATGCCATGAAACCCCCAGGAGGCGCAGGCAGGAGGAGGATGGCCATTTGAGAACCAGCCTCAGCCACTTGACTGTGTCTCAAAATGGAAAATAAAAAGGGCTGGGGACGCGGCTCAGGGGTTAAGCGCCCCTGGGTTCCATCCCTGGTGCCCACACAAAAAAAACAGAGAAAGACAAGAACCAGACAAGCCTCTCCCAGCCCCCAGCACATAAGAAATGCTGAGTAAGAGGCGCCTAAAAATGTCCTAAAGGAGAGGAAGCGCTTGGCCCAGGAGGCCCACACTGCCCAGGCGGCCTCCTAGCCTGCGGTCCATCCCCACTTGTCCTGCGGACAGAACCCGGCCCAAGGCCAAGGCCAAGGCCATCCCCAGAATCCTGCCCAGTTTCCCGCCTCCCCGCACCTGGAGGCCAGGTGACCAGCTGGGGCCAGTCAGACTTGGGCGCAGTTCTTCAGGCCGAGAAAGACTGGCTCTCGTGGGAACGGTGGGCAGTGAGGCTGGCACCACCTGCCCTCTGCCGTCCCCTCCCTGGGCCAAGGGGACCGAGGCTTCCAGGAGGAGGACCACAGGAGCCACACGCTAGGGGTGGCCAAGCTAACGAGGGCAGCCGCTCGCCCCCAAGTTCCTCCCAGGGGTGGAGGACAGATCCCTGCCCGTGTCACTCCACCCAGGGGACCTTCAGCCACCCTCGGCTGCAAGCAGGAAGGAGCGCGAAAGCGGCCGTGGGCAGAGCCACCGGGGCCCCGGCGACACGCGTGTCCTGTACCTATCATCGCAGTGACGTAGCCGGCCGCCCGCAGCACCTCGGCCAAGGTGGTCTCGTTGAGCGGGAGGCCCCCCGCAGAGGTGACCGCGAAGTTGTGCGTGACTCCATTGCGCAGGCCCAGGCGGCCGGTGAGCAGGGAGGCCCGGGAGGGCGAGCAGGTGGAGGCGGCGGCGTGGAAGTCCACAAACCTGCGGAGAAACCAAGGCCATCAGGATCCTGCGGCGAATCAGGTGCGGGGAAGAGGCCATCTCAACTTCAGGAGTCAAGGGCTGTGGAAAAGTTGATCACCCAGTCATGGAGCAGGGAAGGACAGGAAGCCCAGAGGGGTAAGGCCACGAGTCCCAGGTCACACAGCGAATGCCAAACTATTTAATCCAATATATTCAGTCCATCCTCTTTCTTTATAAATTCTATGTTTCAAAGTCACCTACTCACTCAACCCCAAAATCAATACTAGATGCTCTTTAAGGTCACCCCCACTTAAGAGAGGCAGGCCTGCAAATAATTTGAGTTGCCTGCTGTGCACATTCCCAGCTGAAGTGAAGCAAGGTGACCCTCAACCTTCTTAGTTCGGCTCAGGCTGTAAACAAGCATCCTGTCCTATTGAGGGCCACCGTTTCTGCATGTTTGTGCATTTTGTTGGTAATTTCATGAAGCAAAATGTCACTCACCGGCAGCACTCAGGTGCTGCCTGGTGTTCCTAAGCCTCACATGTTTCTGCCAGGTGTCTGACAGAAAATGGGCCCTTTGGGGAAGCTTTGTTCGGGAATGAGCTGTAATGCTATCACCTGTGGGTTCAATGTGAATCAAAAACGTATGCATTAGGGCTAGGGCATAGCTCAGTTGGTAGAGTGCTTGCCTACCCGCACGAGGCCCTGGGTGCAATCCCCAGCACCACAAAAGAAAAAAAAAATGTATGCATTAAATAAGGTGTCTCTGCACAGAAACACACACAAAACCCAGTTACGCCCTGATCCCCGGAGGGACCCGCGGGCAGACACACAGGCGAGCCGGGACTCGGCATTCACTAGGAGTTCACTGTGACTTGGCAGATGGCAGCCACTGCCAACAACAAGAACTGTCCAGCCCCGCTTCAGACACTGTGGAGGAACACAGAAGAGCTCTGGCCCTGCCCTGCCCTAAGGAACACGCAGCCTCGTTGGTGTTAGGGAACCTCGTCTGTTGACCCTCGGCTCCAGAAGGGCGCCGTGATCACAGGACAAGTTGCTCAAACAGGAAAAAAGATTTACTCATCAAACCAGCAAGACTCAGAAGACGGTGGACTCGTGCTGGGAAAGACCATCTTAACACGAGTCTTGAGCTTCTTGTATCTTTAGGGGTCAATGACTGATGACAGCCGATGGCTGGTCACCTGGTGACTGGCATCAGCCTGGAAGAGGGATGAGTGAAGGGCCAGTCCACCAACCCCGAGCTGCTGTACAGATGACCGACAGCCGCAGTGGCTCCGGAAGCAAAGGCATTCGGTAGCAAGGAACAACAGGAGTGGGTGACGATGCCCGAGAGTCTGTAATCAGGACACCTCGAAGGGCAAGGGGCAGTGGGAAATGGGGCAGGGATGTCCAGGGGCTGAGACGGTGGAGAGAACACGGCGAAGCTTCAAGGGCTAGAGAAGGCTCCAGAGAGGAGGTGGGATGTGGACTGGCTGGTAAGAAACGGAGCTCCTAGGAACACGCGGAAACCAAAAGCACAGCATCCCCAGGGGAGGGAAGCAGGATGCTCTTATCTTTCGAAAGGAAACACTGGAAGAATAAACCAGAGGCTAATTTAAAAAAAAAAAAAATGGTTTCCCATAGATGGGCAGGAGAAATGGCCTGGGGGGCGGGGAAGGTGAGAGGACGATGCTCTGGCTGTGCTGTTGGGTAGTGGGACGGTGACACCGTATCCAGGTTTGATAGGTTAAAAATCAAAGCCAGGCGCAGTGGCGCACACCTGAGATCACAGTGGCTCGGGAGGCTGAGGCAGGAGGATCACGAGTTCAGAGCCAGCCTCAGCAACAGTGAGGCACTCAGCAACTCAGGGAGACCCTGACTCTAAAGAAAATACAAAATAGGGCTGGGGGTGTGGCTCAGTGGTCGAATGCACCTGAGTTCAATCCCCAAGGACCCACTCCCCCCCCAAAAAAAGTAAAAGTAAATCACAAAGGAAAAATAAGAAGGTCCTGTAATAAACAAAACTGAAACAAATGAGTCCTACTATGTAACACATTGTTAATAAGACCACCCAGAGGGCCAGGCATGGTGGCACACGCCTGTAATCCCAGAGACTCAGGAGGCTGAGGCAGGAGAATCCCAAGTTCAAGGTCAGCCTCAGCAACTTGGCGGGACCCTGTCTCAAAATATGAAATAAAAAGGGCTGGGGATGTGGCTAGGTGGTTGAGCATCCCTGGGTACAATCTCCAGTGCCCCCCACCTCCAAAAAGACTACCAAAGGAAAGAATCATTTCAAGTGATCTCAGCACACGTCAGTCTGCATACATACATCTAAGGACATATGTTTTTAAAATTCCAAGAAAATCTTAAACCTCACTCAGTTGCTGTATCATCAGTAGAAACATTGGGATTTTAAAACTATTTCAGTGACATAGTAATGCAAGTAAGCTATTTATTTATTTTAATCATTTGTGGTACAGGGGATAGAACCCAGGGCGCTTTACCACTGAGCGACATCCTCAGACCTTTTAATTTCTTATTTTGAGACAGGGTCTCACGACGTTGCCGAGGCCAGCCTTGAACTTGGCCTCAGCCTCCAGTTAGCTGGAATCAACCTGGCGGCAATTAAGAAATTACATAAATGTTTCTAACAGGAGCCAAGATTTTTAATGTAATCAAAGGTAAAAGAAGATACCAAAAAAGGGGGAAGAAACCCTATAATGTAAAAATGTCATTTTGAACCGGTGATTTTTTTAAAAAAACATCTATTTCCTAGCTATTCATTAATACCCAGTAGCCATTAACACACCTACACACCGCACTGTTTTCAAAACCATCCCACCATAAAAATAATCCAATTTATGTGGAGAAATACTTAATGCCAGCTTTGGGGAAGGGAAACACCGGGGAGTCTGGACCTAGCAGCCAGCTCGCAGGGCTCCTGCTGGCGAAATCTGGGGCAATCTGGGAACCAGAAGAATAATGATTATAAGGGATGAGTGGATAAAAATCCGCAAGTTCATAATGACACTGAAAAGAAGTCACTTGTCCTGGTAGAGGAACACACTAACTTCCCACCCTAAAACTTCCTAATTGAAGGGAAAGAATGAAGCTTTGAGGCTGACCGTCTGCAATGACCCTCGGCCATCCCTGGGTGACAGGGGGAGACCCTCCTTCACGGAAGGACAGCAGCCAGTCACAGGGAGGGACACACGCTTGGCAAGACACCGTTTTTGCAAAAATCTCCCCCATCTAATAATTGACAACTGGTGGCTGCCGGTGTTCACACTGTCACACCATGTCACCCTCGGGTCACTTATAATTTGGACAGAGCTGGCAATTACCTCCTTACAAAGTGATTAGAGTCAGAGGCACTAATCACGGGCCCCCTGACCTTGTATGTCTCCTGATGGGATGCATTAGGAAGTTTAGAAGATCAAGGGTTTCTTGCCAAAAACAATTAAACTGAATCTAATCAAAATGCTGAGCCTAATTTCCAGGTTACAGGAAATACAGGTAATAGAACAGAATAAAGGACACCACAAGGAAGTCACTGAACAAAATTGGCACCTAGGCATCTCTACAAGGCAACTGGTCTAGTCTCTTCCAAAAGTTGGCATTGCTGGGTACGGAGGTACACGCCCATAACCCCAGAGATGCGGGAGGCCGGAGGGTCGAGAGTTTGAGGCCAGCCTCAGCAATTTAGTGAGCTCCTGTCTCACAAGAAAATAAATAGGGCTGGGACGTGTCGTTCAGTAACGGAGTGCTTCCCTAACAGGCACAAGGCTCTCGGCTCGGTCCCCAGCACCTCTCTCCCTCCCCCCTGCCACCCTCTCTTACACACACACACACACACACACACACACACACACACACACACACAATCTTGGGGAAAAAGGGATTGAAGGTGAGTAATATTCTATGTTAAAGAAAACTAAGAGACTAAACCAAAGAAGCACATGATACTTAACTGGATCTCACTTCAAATAAACCAACAACACATCTGGGAGATAATTAAATAAATGCTAATGTGGACTGATTCGAGAGAATTATTATTAACTAGAGGATAATAATGGTATTTATTATGGGCATGTGTAAGAAGGTTCTTGTTCCTTCTTTTTTGGCATTGGGGACTGAACCCAGGGGTGCTCAACCACTAAGCTACATCCCCAGCCCTTTTAAAAATTCATTTTGAGACAGGGTCTTGCAAATTGTCCTGGCCGGCCTTGAACTTGGGATCCTCCTGTCTTGACCTCTAGAAGAGCTGGGGTCACAGGAGTGTGCCCCTGCACCCAGGCCAGGATGCCCTTATTCTTAAGCGACGCATGCTGCAGAGTTTGTAATGAAGGGCCATGGCGTCTGCCTCCTTCAAGTGACAGAGGGAAAAAAAAAAAGATACCTAATTCGTAGAGTTTACTATAAGCAAAAACAGCAAAACGTTAACCACGGGTGACTAGGCTGGTGCTTATTTTACTATTCTTTTGGTTTTTCTTTATGTTTGAAATTTGTAACATTAAAAGGTTTTTTTCAAGTTATGGAGACCCAGAATCTAGAAGGCACGGGGCGATGA